ACATAAGAAAGAAACTCATACAGGTTTGGAACAACATGAGGGTGAGTAAATGATGACAAAATGTTCATTTTTGGGTAAACTATTCCTTTAAGGCAAGATGCTACCAACATAATTATTTCAGGCACTGGTCAATTTGAAAATTTTGGGCTATATTTGGCTTCCATAACATGTCTAATGTCAGACTAGTGTAAAGAAAACATAAAAATTACAAATGATGTGTTTAGTTTTTTTTTTTTTTTACACTTTATCTATTTGTGTCTGAAGATTTCAATCTCAATACATCTTTAAAGGCTGTGAGTTTGTTCTCCACTTCAGTAGCACTTACATACACCAAACTTTACAGTTTTATTCTATCTATATTCTGGAGGCTTTTACACAGGGCTATGTTCATATATCATTTGCCTGATTTATATAACACTTCATTTCTAAAAATATGATTCATTTTATTCCTAAAATATGTTTCTGGTTGTTGACAATATTCTGATAAAATATAATTATAGCAACAAAATGAAACAAGAATTCTGAAATACTTGCAAATTAGTGCATTAAATAGATAATGCCTCATTTGCATATTTAAACATAACCTTTCTGAAAACTTGTATTACAAAACAATTATCTTAATGTACTGTGATTTATCAATGGGTAAATTATGGTGATTTTACACAATTCACCTGTAGTGTCTTGTCTTGCCTTAACAGTATAGGCAACTTCATTAAAGGGTTAGTTCACCCAAAAATGAAAATTAGCCCATGATTTAGGGCATCCTAGGTGTATATGACTTTCTTCTTTCAGACAAATCCAATCATATATTAAAAATTGTCCTGGCTCTTCCAAATTTATAATGGCACTGAATGTTTTTTTTGTCAACAGCCCAAAAGAAGTCCAATAAAGCGCATCCATCCATAATAAAAAGTGCCTCACACGGCTCCGGGGGATGAATAAAGGCCTTCTGTAGTGAATCGATGTGTTTTTGAAAGAAAAATATCCATATTTAAAACATTATAAACACTTTTCTTTAACTTCCGCTAACTGTCGTACGCGCAAGCCGTTCCTGCGGATGACGTAGGATGTCGGCAAAGCATAAGCTCCGGTGAGAATTTGCTAGTCTCATGAGAACCAATGTTTGTTTACAGGAGCAAAGGAAGCAAAGTTTCCTTACTTTAGCAAAGGAAAACCAGTCTCCTCTTGGCCTATATTGAAATCCTCTGACATTTTTCTTTACAAATTCTCATTTGTACTATTAAATTCGTGATCGGCGATTTGTTTTGCTTTCTCCTCCGCGCTTCCGCATTCGACACTAATCACCGGTGCATGCGCAACGCATACATCCTACCTCATCCATGGGAACGCCTTCCATGTATGACAGTTAGTGCAAGATAGAGAAAAGTGTTTATAACATTTTAAATATTTTTCTTACATACAGGAGGCCTTTATTCACCCCCCCCGGAGCCGTGTGAGACGTTTTATTATGGATGGATGCGCTTTATTGGACTTCTTTTGGACTGTTGAACAATAACACCTATTCACTGCCATTATAAAGCTTGGAAGAGCTAGGACATTTTTTTATATAACTCTGATTGGATTCGTCTGAAAGAAGAAAGTCATATACACCTAGGATGGCTTGAAGGTAAGTAAATCATGGGCTAATTTTAATTTTTGGGTGAACTAACCATTTAAGCATGTAGTTTTGAAAACCTCTTTCTCTTTCTCTTTCTCTAGCAGTATGGCTTCTGTAAGTCCACCAAGGTCGGAAATGAGGAACCAATAGTGGAATGTGAGATTTATGAAGCTCAGGTATACATCTCAATAACACACTCTTAAATTGGACCAATAAGACCCAGTTATTTTATTCTGTCTAGCTATAAAATGCCTTTGCTCTATTTGTTTCCAGAACGAAACTCATCCAATGAAACACCCTGCTCAGTCAAGAAGAGACTGTAAATTCCATGGTCCCCCACCAGGACATCGCCCAGGACATGAAGGCCATGACCACAAGGACAAATTTCCTGGTCATAGGGGACGTCCAGAACACACAGGCCATGACCACAAGGACAAAACACCAGACCAAAGGGGGCGTCCAGAACACACAGGCCATGACCACAAGGACAAAACACCTGACCAAAGGGGGCGTCCAGAACACGCAGGACATGACCACAAGGACAAAAAACATGATCACAGGGGCCACCCGGAACATCCACACCTCTGTCCTAAAGGCCCTTCAGGAGTGCCAGAATCAGCGCCTGAGGGCCGCCATGAGTTCCCATGCCATGGCTTTGTAAAAATACCCCCCTCTATTTATCCAATCTGCCCCTTCCCTCCACCACGTCTCTGCAGAGGCCCTCCAGACTTTATACGTCCTCGTCCTCCTCCTCAGTAACTAACACTAAAATATATGGAGGAACATTCAGATTTCATCCCATGTTGCAGGGTTTGAAAGAGTAAACATTAAAAACTCCAGAATGTTCAGTCCAATAAATATTCTTTACTGACATGTGTGGTTAATGAGTGATAATGGTCTCAAAACACAGCTGACATTTTGGGTGTTGCAATATTACAAAACTGCTGTGACAAGAAAAACAAAATACCATGTAACTGTAATTTAAAGTCAGGATACCTGTAAAAGGAGAAGTTGCCAGTCTCACAAACAAAACAGAAGATGTGGAAACATCAACCAACATCTTAACACTGTACATTAAAAAAGTGGCGTGATGTGTAGACTAAGTATGGTGTCCCATACTCGGAATTTGTGCTCTGCATTTAACCCATCTAAATGCACACACATGGCAGTATGTATTGAATACACACAAACACACCATAGACACACACCTGGAGCAGCCATGTTTGCTGGGGCACCGTTGGAGCAATTGGGGTTTTGATGCCTCAGATGTGGGAAATGAGGGTGGAAGAGGGCCCTGTTAATTCACTCCCCCCACCTACATTTCCAGCCAGTACTGAGACTCCAGCCTGCGACCTTCGGGTTACAAGTCCAGCTGTCTAACCATTAGGCATGAGCAATCCAATTCTCCTTGATCTTTTGAGATAAGATTGTCTGACGACTAAGAAAACATACTTTAACTTCTCTCATAGTCCATAGAGACCATTTGCTGTGGTGATAAATGCATCAACACACGATCAGCTATGTTTTATGTCACAATGAGAAAGCAGCAGATGCTATTATTCTTAACACCAAAAGAATTAAGAGTTTTAGAATTAAAGCTGCAGTCTGTAACTTTTTTTGGTTAAAAATGATCTGAAATCAATTTTTGAGCAAGTACATAGCCAGCCAGTGTTCAAAACTATCGCCTTACATTAGCCCGATTCACAACGGTTAGCTTATAATAATGTTTTCTAATTTGAGTGGTACTGGTAGGAATTCGCGGGAAATTCGAGCATGCCATGGCATCACTACGTTACGTCCGTAAACATAAAGAAGTTGTCCCGGCTAGTAAGCTATATCACGTGAGGATTCTGCAGGTGGCGGATCATTTTTCTCACAGCAGCTGGATTCACGAGATCGCACTAACATATAATGTGATTGAGCAATTGGTAGCATATTTGGCGTGCTGTCCAGAGGGAGGGCTCCGAGCTCGGGTTAAAGCCCGAACCCAGAGAACTCCCCCACCCCTCCCAAGACTGGGAGGAAATTATATTATTTAGTGAGGTGTTGGGGAGGAGGCGGGATGCTGGAAAACTGTCGTGGAACTGAGGTAAGTTGGCTGTATACATATACACGTATTGTGCTTGTTAAGGTGATTAGCTGATGAGCTCCACCTGGGCCAGACTGTTTGATTATCTGATCGTGCTCCTCCCGAACCTTGTTAATAAAACATAATTTCACGAGTTCGCACTAACATATAATGTGATTGAGCAATTGGTAGCATATTTGGCGTGCTGTCCAGAGGGAGGGCTCCGAGCTCGGGTTAAAGCCCGAACCCAGAGAACTCCCCAAAAGAAGCTAATGGCATGAGACAGCAGCCGGAGAGAAAACTAAATAGCCCCCAAAAATATGCGTGCCGTGAAGAAAAGTAGGGTGTGCGAGGAGGCGGCAGGGCGACTGGGAGGGGTCGTCGGTGCTTGAATGTGAGCTGCGACTCTCCGCGTCAGATGGCAAGCCCTACCTGTCGCCGAATGAGGAGCATGATGGAAGGCCAGGTGAGGGACTCTCGCTGCATCCGAAGGGAGCTGCGGCTCTGCTGCACCGGAAGGGAGAGCCC